CTTATTTCCATTACCTAATAAGGTATTGTACAACAAGGAACAGGAACAGGAACGGAACAACTTTGAACACCCCTATTACTATTATATATAAATTATACTAAAATGTTCTAAATTTGTATACCAGTATCATTTGCTGATGGTGATGTTAATTCATTTTGACTAAGAAACAAAACGCCTATTTTAATTCTGTGAACTAGAGTGACGATGAGTGGCGATAGCCACCACCATCTTTATGATAAACACTTATCCAACAACTGCTCCAGATGTATTATTTTTACTTCTTCTTTCCTCTAATTTTTTGTCTTGTGGCATTTTTTTTTGCTTTGCGTAATCAATATTAATATTAATATAAATATATAATTACAAGATGTCAAGGCAGCACACCGTTGAAAAAGAAACAATTTAAATATGAGATGTTTGATTATCGGAAATTGGCAGACATTGAAGCATGCACGTTATCTTGAACACTTTACAGTCATTCTCACACATTCCTTGTGACAAAAGGTTAATCAGACTAGTGTGCTCCAATGATACAATGATGTTGTTAAATTTTCAGGGGGGAGGTAGTTCTGGGATTTATTGAGGCTGCATCAATTGTCAATGGCATTTTCACTAATCTTCCCAAACCAGAGAAGGCTGCTGGCATGCTGGCTGAAAAGTTACCTTCAACGATCCTACCTCTGGGGTAAGGATGGCACTGTGACCTAGTTGCAACTCTGCTGATGACTTGTAGTGCCATGTAAACATCCGGATCCATCAAAGCATCAAGAATCTTCAACTTGTTCTTACCTTTCAATTAATTTCTAACTCAACATTTCTACTTTCCAATTTATGGATTTTATTCAAAATTTTTGAAGTTGTCTAATTAACCTATTGTTTTCATTTTTCAATTCATTGTTTTCACTTTTCAATTAATTATTTTTTCTTGTCAATTTGTTTTCCTATTGTTTTTATTCGCCAGTTTTGATTTCACTTTGCAATTTCTCCTAATCCCTTAAAATATTAGTATCCCTTAAACTGTCTGCCGTCCAAATTTGGACGCTAATTTTTTTCATATATAAAATCTTTTCTGATCATCATGCTTTCTAATTAACAAATGATATTTGGGATTTTATACATTGATCTATATATAGAAATTCGGCCATTATTATTATGGGTTTTGTAAAACTGTAAAAAGTCTACCATGCCCGTGTCGATCATTACCTTAAAAATTGATATATTCATAATAAAATTTTTTATTGTGCGATTTGGTTAATTTTGATTGGTGGAATTTTGTAATTTACCAATAAAATTTTCGAAATTCCCTTATTCGAAAATGTGGACAGTTTAAGGGATAATCATCTTTATTAATTATAGAAACTCTCCAATTTTTGAAATTGATTTTCTATAGTTTTTTTCTAGGTTGCTCCAATTAAGAATTATTTTGCCTAGTGATGGGTTATCACCACGATAAAAAATAATCGAGAATAATTACCATGGTAAATACCCTACGTATTGAATTGCTATATAAAATCAGGATATGAAAATTTTATTATTGGCGATCGCAAGCATTTGATTTCGATTGGCTAAATCAAATTTTCCAATTTCGTCAGTTATTTTTGACGTCATATACAATTTCGTCGACCATTCTTTAATATTGATTGTGGTAATAATAATGATAAAATACTTACTCGCCGTTGATTATTTAAAATAAAGTGAAAACAACAGTTAATTTGTTTTCAAAAACAATGATATCGACCATTGTAATAAATGAAATATAGAGCGTGCCATAATGGACAAAAGTCCAGTTATTAATAACAGTCAAACCTTGTCATAACGGATGAACGGAATATACAAGGAAATTTTTATGTTTTTAATATGTGAAGCAAAAATTTTAAAAATCCGTTATGACAAGGATTTAATTACAGTCCGCTGTAGCAAGGTTTGATTGTACAATTATTAATTACAATTATTAATAATAAGTAAATTGGACATAGACCCAGTTAATAATTATAATGAAGTACTTACGTTTCTTCAAACTATGGTCAACCTGGCTAAAAGCATCAAATGCCATTGATAAATCAGCAACGGAAAGATAATCAAGGACGGAAGAAAGATACTGAATTTCGTTTTTATTGTTCAATTGATTCTTGCAGCTTTCACTTTTTTTCTCGTGAGAAAATTTTCTTTTTTCATATGAAATTAATATTAAAATTTGAAATAAGGAATAATCCAGTCGTTTCATGAACTTTTGGTTATTCACAGTAATCTTTGTTTTTTTTTTACAGGTTAATGGATTTGTATTATGAGCTTTTTTAAAAAAAAACCTCCATATAAGCTGAATGATGCTGTTGATAATAAAATAATACATTGAAACGTATAACATTTTTGACTATTTAATAACTCGTCATTTTACAGTTTATCTTGCAATAATAAAATCTTTTTCCAAGTGAACAGAAAACTATGGTTTGGTTTTTGGTTTTTGGTTTATTAAGAAAAGTATTATTCTATTATTATATTTTTAATTTACGATTAAATTGATTATTATTTATTATATACTATATGTGCTAAAAAACATTTTACGAATCATCATTGACCTTTTTTTTTTTGCGGAGACGAATATCTCCCCTGCATTTGATTTGGTTTTAATAGTTGAAACTCTAAAAATACATACAAAAAGCACCTGGAAATTTTTAAATTTTATTATATTTATCGTTCCCATATAAACACGTTTAAATATTTATTAATAGTCATGTCAAAATCCTAGATGTAATTTATTCAATTAAATTTTTCTTGTCGAAATATCTTTGAAAAAAATTTTTGGACAAATTTTTATTCTATTTTCCTTGGAAAGAATTTTGCATGTATATATAATCATGAAATCCCAAGCTACAAAATAATATAATTCTTGTGTTTTTACCACGCGGAGCATTTTTTGGTGGTAAATTAACTTGATTAATTTGTGAAATGAATACTTTTATTTCATTCAACATCCAACTGCATTTGCATTGGATGTTGGTCATCCTAAATCTGTTAACGACATATTTGTGATTATTGTTCAATAAAAATGGAATACAGAATTTATAAGTATTTTATTTCGAAAAACTGTGTTATACAAATAAATAAACAAGCATTTTTGTAGTTGTTGTACGTGAAAATGAAATTATGTGAATTCGCAATTCACATATGTGAAATTCAAATTTACATGTGTGAAATTCAAATTAGCCAATCAGAATTTCACCCCGCTCCATAATATTTCAATTTCACATAATTTCAATTTCACATACAACATAGTCATGTAATTATAATTAATATCAACAAAAGTTTAATTGATGACCATTTAGAAAGTATAAGTGAAACAATTCAACAAGAAAAAAAAAATAAAAACCTTTATATTATTATTTCATTATCAGATACTGTTTTAATTCCAGATTGTTATTATTTACTTTCCAATTCATTGTTTTCACTTTTCAACTTATTAACTTCACTTTCCAATTTCTTGAGTTCACTTTTCAATTTGTTGACTTCATTTTTCAATTTATCATTTTCACTACTAAATCTACTGATTGTTTTATCATTTTTTTTGTTTTGATTATCCAAATAATAGCATTCATTTTCCAATACATTGATGTCATTACTAAATCTAGTGATTGTTTGATCATTTTTTTTGTTTTTATTTCTTAATTCATTGATTGTTTGATTATTTTTACTTTCCAATTTATTTTTTTCACTTTTAAATTTATTGAAGCTACTTTCCAATTCATTGTTTTCACTTTTCAATTTATTGAAGCTACTTTCCAATTCATTGTTTTCACTTTTCAATTTACTGAAGCTACTTTCCAATTCATTGTTTTCACTTTTCAATTTACTGAAGCTACTTTCCAATTCATTGTTTTCAATTTTCAATTTATTGAAACTACTTTCCAATTCATTGTTTTCACTTTTCAATTTATTGAAGCTACTTTCCAATTCATTGTTTTCACTTTTCAATTTACTGAAGTTACTTTCCAATTCATTGTTTTCAATTTTCAATTTATTGAAGTTACTTTCCAATTCATTGTTTTTAATTCCCAACTCAACATTTCTAATTTCCAATTCTTTGAAGTTGCCTATTAATCCAACATTTTTAATTTCCAATTCTTTAATCAATTCATCACTTTTGTATTTCAATTCATTGTTTTTATTCACCAATTTTTTGATTTCACTTTTCAACTCCTCCTGATCTCTTAAAATATTAGTATAATTATCCTTATTAATTATAGAAAGCTCTCCAAAATCAAAACAGTTTGTTGGTATGGTGACTTGTCCTTGTACAAATTGTTGTAATAATTGCAGTTGTGTGAATTTTTGCTGATTCTTCAAGAGTTGTTGCTGATGTTGTGTGAATTGTTGCTGTTTTTGTAGGAGTTGTTGGCGTTGTTCTAAGAGTTCTGAGAGATGTTGCTGGTGTTGTGTGGGTTTTTGTTTATATTCTAAGAGAAGTTGCTGCTGTTTCTGTTGTGTGGATTCTTGCAGTAGTTGTAAGAGATTTTTCTGTTGTTGTAAGTGCTCTTCCTGTTGTTGTAAGAATTTTTGTTGTTGCAAGAATTCTTGCTGTTGTTGTAAAATTTGTTGCTGTTGTTGCTGTTGTGAGAGTTGTTGTTGTTGTTGTGTTAATTGTTGCTGTTGTTCTAATAGTTTTTGCTGCTGTTGTAAAATCTTTTGCTGCTTTTGTGGAGGTTGTTGTAATTGTTGTTGTAAAAGTTGTTGCTGTTGTTCTAAAATTTCTAAAAGTTGTTTTTGTAAGGGTTGTTGTTGTTGTTCTAAAAATTGTTCTTGTTGTTGCTGTTGTTTTAAAACTAGTTCTTGTTGTTGTAGCATTTGTTGCTGTTGTTGTTGTAAGAGCTGTTGCAATTGTTGTAATTGTTCTGTGAGTTTTCTCAATTGTTTTATTTTTTGTAAGGGCTTTTGTTGTTCCAAGAGTTGTTGCTGTTGCTCTAAAAATTGTAGCTGTTGTTCTAAAAATTGCTGCTGATATTGTGAGGATAATTGTTGTTGATTTTTAAAGTTTTGTTCTTGTTGTTCAAAGAATTCTTGCTGATCCTGTGTGAATTGATTTGTATCATAAACATTCAGAATGTCTTTATCATCATGTTCATTAAGACCTTCTGAAGTGACAATTGGGTAAACTTGGTCTGTCATTTTTTTTTTAGATATACTTCAATGATACAGGAATATTATCAAGAATATAGAAAGGAGCTTTGGTGTAACGAGAAGAATGTAACGCAATTGCATCATCTGGCCCGCCAATTAATATTAATATTTTCATTACGCAAAGTCACATGAAATAATGATAGTAATAGGTAAAAATTTTCTCTTATATTAATATTAAAATAAATAGTTTTACCCTTGTACTTGGGTAGCTGTGGATTCCGTGTAAAATATATCAATATATGAGTTTCACGAAAAAATAATAAAGCTACAACATTACAAAAAAAGTGTAGTTAGTTTTAACAGTAATTCTCAATAATTTTATTATTTTAAATTCAAAAAAACCATATTATGTATTATTGCATGCTGTAGAATAACAAGCGATCCGACTTTGTATAGCATTGCCTGCATGAAAATAAACTTGCAAAATGACAATTATTTTTTAGAAATTTTGTCCCTCCACCATACTTTTTCAAAAATACCATTTAAAATTATATTTTGTTTATGGATTAAAATGATATTTGGCTTAGTTGAACCATTATATTACTGGCTTTTGATTTATTAGGTTGATTATCTAATAAAAAAATTTTTATTTCAAATAATTTGTTAATGAAATTCCTACGTATGGACAATTACCTATATTTAGGAATTGAAGGAGTCCATGGTATATTTCAGTGGCAAACCTGATACCAGATCAGGAAAAAAATTTAATACAATAACTAATATATCTAATGGCTAAAAAAAGGTCAATATGCTAAATTTTTACCTAACGCGGGTTAATGGAAAAAATTTTCACCGGCGCAAATTCAAAAATTATCAAAATCAGAGCAACTAAACCTCATCCATAAACTTCTATTAATGTAACCTTTTACAATGCGCAATATATCCTTTTTTAATTTACTATTAGTATTAAAATAATTTTTAATTTGAAATATAAATTTTGGATTCCGTGATCTATAATGATAATAATAAATATAAAGAATTGGTTTTTTCGGATTTTATTGTTATAAACTTAATATTAATGAAACTCTCAATCTTTGTTTTGCCTTGGAAATACTCTTTCATATGGTTCACTTGAAAAAAGTATTATATAGAGCAATTTTAATCATTTCAATTATTTTGAAACATGCCTGAATATTCTTCTATCAAAATTGGCAAGATTGTTCCAATGCTTCCTTTATCAAAATTATTTTTAATTATTGTTTATAAATCATCCATTCTTCTTGATTAGTAATGTGCCGCGCATAGTGTGTTATGCAAAGGTTTTGGTTATGTTTTTTACAGACATTTATTTATTTCTAAAAAAAATTATATATGCTTGCTTTCTTATTGTTATGTGCGAATTTATAATATTCCTTCCCTATGATATATAATAGCATGCATACTATGCGCGAAAAAAATCAGGGTTATTATCATTTTTGATTAAAATTTATCATCTGATTCCTTTTCTATTCCAAAATGTTCTAGCAAAATATTCTTTCATTATTAGCGAGTCCCACCCATTCATAATTGATTGTGGAAATTTATTTCTAATTAAAGAATAACCTTTCCACTTTGTCCTTTATAATTAATTTGCAAAAGTAATCCTAAATCTTCGTTTTTGCTCCACATTACTAAATTACAAGGATTACAGCATAATTTTTTTTTTCGCGACGCGTTATTAAATCCTTATTCATAATATAATTACTAAATTTCTAATTTTTAAAATTTTATTTTGCAAACTTTTTTTGAGAAATGTTGAAACACGTGTAAATAAATTAAAGGAACAGAATAATATCTGCATACACGTAATGATGTATGACGCAACTTTTGACTTTAGTCATTGACATGACTAAATTGTTAAACGACCTGTTGAAAAATTGAATTGAATACAAAATTTATTTTCAAAAATTTATCTTGAAACAAAGTACTTATGTTTACTAAATTACAAATAAATAATTCATGTAATATTAACTAATATCAACAGGAAAGTTTAATTGACAAATATTAAGAAAGTAAAGTGAATAATTTAAAAAAATCAACCAAAAGAAAAAAAATAAATCAAAATATTTATATCTCATTAGAATATTATCTCGGACTGGTTTTAATCCAAACTATTTAAACCTTCATTTTCCAATGCATTGTTTTCACTTTTCAATTTATTGAATTCATTTTCCAATTCCTTGAGTTCACTTTTCAATTTATAGTTTTCACTTTCCAATTTATTGTTTTCACTTTTCAATTTATTAATCATTTTATCATTTTCACTGGTTTGACTTTTCAATTTGTTGGTCATTTTTTTGTTTTTATTTTTCAATTCATTGATTGTTTGATTATTTTTATTTTCCAATTTTTTTTTTTCATTTTTCATTTTATTAATTTTATTAATGGTACTTTCCAATGCATTGTTTTTACTTTCCAGTTCTTGGATTTTATTTGATTGACTCTCAAAATTTATAAATTCTTTATTTTTACTTATTAATTCATTGTATTTACTAGTCAAGTCATCATATGTAATTTTTAATTCATGGATTATCTTGTTGGATTTGTTTTCCAATTCATTGTTTTTATTCACCAATTTTTTGATTTCACTTTTCAACTCCTCCTGATCTCTTAAAATATTAGTATAATTATCCTTATTAATTATAGAAAGCTCTCCAAAATCAAAACAGTTTGTTGGTATGGTGACTTGTCCTTGTACAAATTGTTGTAATAATTGCAGTTGTGTGAATTTTTGCTGATTCTTCAAGAGTTGTTGCTGTTGTTGTGTGAATTGTTGCTGTTTTTGTAGAAGTTGGTGGCGTTGTTTTAAGAGTTCTGAGAGATGTTGCTGGTGTTGAGTGGGTTTTTGTTTATATTCTAAAAGAAGTTGCTGCTGTTGCTGTTGTGTGAATTGTCGCAGTAGTAGTAAGAGTTCTTTCTGTTGTTGTAAGTGCTCTTCCTGTTGTTGTAAGAATTTTTGTTGTTGCAAGAATTCTTGCTGTTCTTGTAAAATTTGTTGCTGTTGTTGCTGTTGTGAGAGTTGTTGCTGTTGTTGTGTTAATTGTTGCTGCTTTTGTAATAGTTTTTGCTGCTGTTGTAAAAACTTTTGCTGTTTTTGTGGAGGTTGTTGCAATTGTTGATGTAAGAGTTGTTGCTGTTGTTCTAAAACTTCTAAAAGTTGTTTTTGTAAAGGTTGTTGCTGTTGTTGTAAAACTTGTTCTTGTTGTTGTTGTTGTTGTAGCATTTGTTGCTGTTGTTGTTGTAATTGTTGTTGTTGTTGTTGTAAGAGCTGTTGTAATTGTTGTGTGAGTTGTAGCTGTTTTTCCAAGAATTGTTTTTGTTGTGTGGGTTTTCGTTTTTGTTGTTCCAAGAGTTGTTGCTGTTGCTCTAAGAATTGTAGCTGTTGTCCTAAAAGCTGCTGCTGATGTTCTGAGGATAATTGTTGTTGTTTTTTAAAGTTTTGTTCCTGTTGTTCCAAGAATTCTTGCTGATGCTGTGTGAATTGATTTGTATCATAAGCATCCAGATTGTTTTTATCAGTGTCACCACCATCATACTCACTAAGAGCTTCTGAGGTGACAATTGGATCCGCCATTTCCTTTAAAAAATGGAAATTTTTTTGTGAAACCAAACTTAAATTTAGAATTTATTACATATTATACCAATCAAAAGGATTCGTTTATGCAAAATCTACATAGAATTTTTATACAGTTTTATAAATTTATACAAATTTATGCCTGTTCAAGTTTGCTGATTATTTCAACTGTAATTTTTGTATGTAATCTATTTATATAGTTTGGTCCTGTTTATACCCTGTTATACATCATTATCACTTTTATATCACTTTTATACCATGGTTATATGAAAATAATAAAATTTTTAACAAATATACCTGCTTCTTCTGCATCATCAGAATGTAATTGGAGCAATTATGGTTATATTCCATAATGTTGGAAGAAATAAACTCATTAATGAAAATGTATTTAAATTTGTTTCAATATATTCCAACTTAAGATTATCTAATTTATATGAAAAGGTTTGAAAATTTATTTTGAATATCAAGCAGAGATCAATGATGGGAGTGAAAATGAAGAGGGAGATGAAGATGAAGAAATTGACAATGACTTGGATTTGATTATAATGACTATGATTATGGTGGTGATAATTATGATGATGTTGTTAATGAATTTATTAATTTAGAAAATATTAGGTAACAATCAATAATTCTATGAAGATGTATAAGTTTATTCTACAATTAGTATCTCTTATGAATAAATATTCAAACCAAAATTGTTATCTTATTACATATTAGTGATATATATATATACACCATCCCCAGTAGATTTCTGTATAATCATGAAAACCTAAGCTACAAAATGATATAATTTTTGTGCTATGTGGAGTTTTGCAATATTTTTGACCATGTAAGTGTGCATTCTTTGACATTGATAAATTAATCTGTTTGATTAATTTGTGAATATAAACACACTTTTGTTACATTCAACATCCAACTACATTGGCATTGGATGTTGGTCATTGTTAAACAACCTGTTGAAGAGCAAATGTGGAGTTCAAAATATTTGTGATTATTGTTCAATAAAAATGGAATATATTTATTGATTTGCCTAATTTTGATTTTCAAAAATTTGTCTTGAAAAATTGCACTATAGAAAAACAAAGTGCCTACATTTACTATATTACAAATAAATAAATAAATATTTTCATAGTCATGTAATTATAATAGAAAAGGTTTAATAGACAATCATTTAGAAAGTAAAGTGAGGCAATTCAACCAAAAATCCAGCAAAAGGAAAAAGTAAATAAAAATATTTATATTATTATTTAATTATCAGATACTTTTTTTAATTCCTAATTCTTTACTTTCCAATTCATTGTTTTCACTTTTCAATTTATTAACTTCACTTTCCAATTTCTTAAGTTCACCTTTCAATCCCTTGAGTTCATTTGTCAATTTATTGTTTTCACCTTCCAATTTAATGATTCTTTTATCTTTTTTTTTGCTTTTTCTTTCCAGTTTCTTGAAATCACTTTCCAAATCATTAAAATCATTTTCCAAATAATTGAAATCATTTTCCAAATTAGTGTTTTCATTTTCCAATATATTGATTTCATTATTAAATCCACTGATTGTTTTATCATTTTTTTCATTTTTAGCTCTCAATTCATCAATTGTTTGATTGTTTTGATTGTTTTTACTTTCCAATTCATTGTTTTTACTTTTCAATTTATTGACTTCACTTTCCAATTCATTGACTTCACTTTTCAATTTATTGTTTTCATTACTAAATCTACCAATTGTTTGGTCTTGATATTTGTTTAAATTTCTTGATTTATTGTATTCACTTTTCAATTCATTGGCTTCACTTTCCAATTCATTGACTTCACTTTTCAATTTATTGTTTTCATTACTAAATCTACCAATTGTTTGGTCTTGATATTTGTTTAAATTTCTTGATTTATTGTATTCACTTTTCAATTTATTGGCTTCACTTTTCAATTCATTGACTTCACTTTTCAATTTATTGTTTTCATTACTAAATCTACCAATTGTTTGGTCTTGATATTTGCTTACATTTCTCAATTTATTGTATTCACTTTTCAATTCATTGTTTTCACTTTTCAATTCGTTGTTTTTACTCATCGATTCATCATATTTAATAGCCAAGACATTGTATTTATTAACCAAGTCACCAATTATTTTATTGGATTTACTTCCCAATTCATTGTTTTCATTCATCAACTTATTGTTTACACTTTTTAATTTCTCCTGATCTTTTAAAATATTAGTATAATCATCTTTACTAATTATAGAAAACTTCCCAAAATCAAGATGGTTGGTTGGTATTGTGACTTGTCCTTGCACAAATTGTTGTAATAATTGCAGTTGTATGAATTTTTGCTGATTTTGCAAAAGTTGTTGCTGTTGTTGCTGTTTTTGTAGGAGTTGTTGACATTGTTCTAAGAGTTCTGAGAGATATTGCTGGTGTTGAGTGGGTTTTTGTTGATATTCTAGGAGAAGTTGTTGCTGTTGCTGTTGTAAGAGATTTTTCTGTTGTTGTAAGTGCTCTTCCTGTTGTTGTAAGAATTTTTGTTGTTGCAAGAATTCTTGCTGTTGTTGTAAAGGTTGTTGCTGTTGTTGTTGTAGTGAGAGTTGTTGTTGCTGTTGTATTAATTGTTGCTGCTTTTGTGATAGTTTCTGCTGCTGTTGTAAAATCCTTTGCTGCTTTTGTGGAGGTTGTTGCGATTGTTGTTGTAGGAGTTGTTGCTGTTGTTGTAAAATTTGTTCTTGTTGCTTTTGTAAGGGTTGTTGCTGTTGTTGTAAAATTTGTTCTTGTTGTTGCTGCTGTTGTAGCATTTGTTGCTGCTGTTGTTGTAAGTGTTGTTGTTGTTGTTGCAAGAGCTGTTGCAATTGTTGTGTGAATTGTAACTGTTTTTGCAAAAGTTGTTGTTTTTGTTGTGAAGATTGTTGTTTTTGTTGTTCCAAAAGTTGTTGCTGTTGTTCTAAAAATTGTAGCTGTTGTTCTAAAAGTTGCTGCTGATGTTGTGAGGATAATTGTTGTTCTTTTTTAAAATTTTGTTCCTGTTGTTCTAAGAATTCTTGCTGATGCTGTGTGAATTGATCTATATCATAAGCATTCGGATTTTCTTTATCAATGTCATCACCATCATACTCACTAAGACCTTCTGAAGTGACAATTGGATCCGCCATTTCTTTTTTTTAAAAAAACGGAAAAAATTTTGTGAAACCAAAAATTTTTTTTTTTATTTATTTAAGTAATATCATATACATATTGAATAATTAAATAATAATAATATTCTATATATTTGTAATTGATCAAATGCCCATGTACACTTAAGCCATTAAACATGATATACTTTCCTTTTAACAAATTAAGTTGTAATTTAATTTGTGTTGGGAATGGAACCCTTGGATTGTATTACCTTGATATTACTGAGTTGATTGAGAATCCTTGGTTTATCCATCTTGAGATTGATTATTCAGTTTTTGGTGTTTTGTTACTATTTTTGTTTTTGTTATTTTATTATACTGTTGATTTTTTCCCATTCCTGTGAAATCAAAATTTAAATTTAAAATTAATATATGCGCAATGATCAATTTATTTAACATTAAATATAAGATTCGAATACAGCCAAATTTATCATCAGAAGCTTTAAAATAATTATTATTACTGCCTCCATGTTCAGTGGAGATAAAGTATTCTACATATAAATTTGTCTTAATACTGTTCTAAGTTTAATATTTTAAACCATCTGAGTTTCATAATAAATTTAACAAGTGATAATATAGCAACTGATCTTGAAAATATAATTAATATATTAGATATAAATAAACTTTCTTCTCTGGTAATAATGAAAGTGATCATGGATTATTAGATAATATTTTTAACGTTTAATTAATTTTTATTATTATATTTTAATAAATAAATACATAAATTTTTTGAGCACTGCATAATCATGTACAACTTGCGCATGAAATTTTAAAAATTCTTGTATTTTTCCATCATATATATACCTACAGCCAAGATTATTGATGATAAAAAGATACAACAGAAAATACCACAGCACCACCAAAGACATACTGGAATAAAGCAGCAACAACATTTCTTTTCTATATAATTACACGTGAATTGTCACATGACATACGATTTCGAATTAGATAAAACAATAAAAATAATATTATTATTATAATACTAATGCCACCACTTACTTTTATAATCCTTCTTAAAAGTTCCTTGAGTACCTTCAACAACATTAAAACTAGATTTATCATTAGAAGCACTTTCTTCATTTTCTATCTTGTTGTTGGTATAGTTGTTGTTATCAAGTGCTGGTGGTGAATTGTATTGTTCTGTATATTTCTTTTCGGCTCTCATCATAAATCAATTGCTTGTTTGATTAATTAATTACTGGCTATTACGAACTAATTAATTTACATATAATAAATGTTGATATTAACAATTGGAGAATTCAAAAATTCAATTGAAAAAAAAATTTTAATCGAATTCTAAAGAAAAAAAAAAAAAGTTTAAGGTTGGAATTCTTCTTTTATACTTTTTTTAAGGATGTTATTACTGTAATGGTTGAATTATTATTGTTGTGATGGTAGATCCATAATTCATAATTGGAATCACGGACAATTATTTCCTGCATAGCGCAGAACGCTGCAGAAATCACGGAATGTGTGTTTAAACACGGAAAATACTATAATTAATAATGTACCGCAGAATACCACAGATAATATAAAAATGGGAATTTAATAAGTGTAACATGATAATTAAAAAATTATTTTTTATGATGAATAATAGAAGGAGAGGTACAAGAACAACGATTACAACCAATACTAGAGTAAAAGAAAATCCTGGTGAAATTCGCATTGACAATGGAATTTTATTTTGTAATTTTTGTGACCATTCTGTTGATTGGATACGAAAGTCAACGGTTGATGACCACCTTAATAGTAAAACACATAAAGCTAAGAAAAATCTGTATGAAAACAAACAACGTCAACTTCAACAAACACTTGTTACCTCTCTTTCTTCTGAGTCTAAAAAAATTATAATTCACGATTTAATTGAAGCCTTTGCTATAGCAGATATCCCTTTAGAAAAAATTGATTCGTTAATTTTTTTTAGAAAACATTGTATAAATCGCAGAATTATTGCAGAATGCATAAATACTATAACGGAAATTATGCAGAATAGTGTTTTTTAATACACGGCATGCATGCGGAATTTGTTTTTACAGAAAATCATTGTCCCTGATTGGAATGTTTGTGTTTGTGTCTCATCTAAATTTGGTTGGCACTAGTAAATTAAGGGTAGAGTTCGGTTACACATTACATCATATGGCAAAAAATTCACACGACCACAATTTTAAAACAAATAAAACTTCTTGCGAAACTTAAACGAAACTTTGTATACATACTCTCTGGGATTAATAATGTGCTTTTAATAGCATTTGTTAATAAAGTTTTACAAAAAAGGTAATGTGAAGTTCAACATATGTTACGAGTTCTATAAGTAAAGTTACGAATTCTTGTCCTCTACTATATGTTTTTGTTAAATTAAGGAAAACTAAATGAACAGTCTTCAAGTTAACCTTAATAGC